GAGTATTTAAAGTAGACACAAGTTATACTATTATATTATATCATTTGATTTATTGTTATTACCGATGCACGAGTTGACTTAACTGTTGTAGTTGGAGCTCATTTGAACAATGAGCCAACTAATTATTACTTTCATAATGGTGTAATGTGCCGACTATTTTCTACATTAATAGATGAAGGTCTGGTTTGTTCAAACTCTCAAAATAGTAGGACCAGAGCCCGAGAGACTCTAGGGCTCTGAGTAGGACATGCTGTCATAATTACCCAGAGTCCGAAGTGACACCTTTACAATGTTAAAGCTGTTGGATAAATGTAGTGACGTAAAAACTAAAGTATTCAAGATAGTGTAGTGGAAAAGAGATAATGTTTTTTTTGAAAATGTTACCAAAACAAAATCTCTTGTTTTGGACTGACAGTAATGATTCAAGAAATAGTAGATAAATAAATACACACACATCAATGTGTTGTGGATGGAACACAACACATGGTGCTCTTACCTGTGATGCCTCCTCCACACATTATAACCAGACTGTATCATTCAAACTACAAGTAACAGTTCTAGCTACTTGACTTTAGACAAACAATTCAAAAGACAAAATCAACACAATTTATTGAAAGACCAATCTTTATTTCTCTCCTTTTGTTTGTATTATTAAACCCTGTCAATCTAAAAAACTGAGCAACTCAACAGTTAACTTTATATTTCTTATTGTCCAAAGCATCTATTACACTATTTGTTCCCCTCTCATATTCACAGGATGGATGATTAGAGACTTTGTGGGAGACCTCAGCTTCATGAACGTCCTGTCTGTTGCTTTGGCCGGCGAGGGCTGAGGGTCTTTCCCTGCAGGCCTGAAGGAGGAGGACCAGACCTGATGGAGGAGGACCTGCACCAGCTGCACCTACAGAACTTAGCCCATGCTGGGCATAGCTGTTACCACCTGCACAGGCCTAGCCTGTCAATTAACAGATTAACATTAAGTGTAACTTATGTATATTATTTCGTTTTTATTTTTTTTTAAAAATGGTGATGGTTCATGCTTGATAACTTTTAGTTCACATTTCAATAAATTGTATTTGCACTCCTTTTGTCCGTTATTCTTACTGAAAATGTTAGATTACACATTCACATCTGACTGAAGATTGGTACCATTTATTTATGACGTTCCAAACTCGGCGGCACAAGGCACAAGTGATGTGAAGCTCATAAAGTGAGGCAAATGCATTTGATCAGCTGACTTTTTTTTTGCCAAACTTTATAGGCCTGACAATCACACTGTCTCTGAGGTGCAACGTAAAACACAAAACAACACAAATGAAGTTCCTGTTAGACTATAAAACTATTCAGTGTGCAGGTCTTTGTGTTACAATATAAGTGTCTCTTAGTGAATGTCCTGTAATGCTCTTAAATCTCATCACATCAGCTTCTCCTTTCCCTCTTGGATGTTCTTCTGGACCCTCAGAGAAAGAGAACATGGTGAAGCAGTCCTGTCTCTCAGGCCTGTCCTTTCCTAACAGAAATATCAAAAAACATATTATTGCTGAGCAAGTGTGTTATTTAAGAAAGAGGTGTGTTTGTTTGTTCATAAATATAATGATTTTTTTATTTGAATGTGTTTTTTAAATCCACCAGTGTACTACAAAGTAGGGCTGTGCAATTAATCGTATTTTAATCGCGATTACGATTATGGCTTGCGACGATTATGAAAACAGCATAATTGACAAAATACGATTATTTTTGCTGGGTGCGCTTTCGCCCCTCCCTAAAAGCCCACTCGGCCACGTGGGAGTGACATGTGTTGTGAGTGTTCAGCGCGAGCGAAGATGTCAGAACAAGAGCAGCAACTCGTTAAAAAGAAGGGTAAAACTATTTCCACTATTTGCAAGTACTTTGCCATTACATTCCACATCGCTAAAGATATGTGCCCAGTTAGCACTGTTAGCAACCAGGGCTTTAAGCAACTTGTCAACACGTTGGACAAGCGTTACGCGATGCCGTCTCGGTATTATTTCAGCAGGTCTGCGCTGCCTGCACTATATGACAAATGCCGTGGGGAAGTTGAGAGAGATGTGGCTTCAGCTGACTACTTTGCTACCACAACATACCTATGGTCTAGCCCAGGGGTGCCCAACCAGTCGATCGCGAGATGTGTCTAAAAATAGAACAACAATATTCAGTTTTATCGTTAATGTCCTGTAACATAATCTTCCTGTGCCAGAATAATGCACTTGAACGCATCAAAGCTTTGTGATTGGCCGGCGTCACCCCATGTGTCGGGGCGTGGCTGAGGGTCTTCAGTACAGGTGGCAATATTGTCACCTGCCTGCGCTCATCTCTGAAACCAGACCATGTAAACAGGCTGTTGTTTCTTGCAAAAAATCTTTAAGAGATGACACGAGCAGCCCTACCAGCATTTGCCATGGTGGCCTAAACATTTTTATTTGGTCTTAAATTGTAGTTCAACATTTATTTCCTGTTACTTCTGGACCATGACGGTTGGCCAGCCTTCAACGTTTAACTGAGTGGAATATGTTGAATATGTTTTACCAAAATGTTGGCTATATGTTAAGGAGTTTTCAGTAGGTTGTGACAGTGCACTGCATCATATTTGATTTCATTTATTTTGGTCTAATTTATTTTTATTTATCATATTAATAATATATGTTTAGTATGGTTTTGGAAGTGCGCTCCAACATATTTGTTGATCTTGTTTATTGGTAAAATATTATTTGTTTTAAAGTTCAATAAATGGTCAATGAATAATCGTCAAAATAATCGTGATATCAATTATTGACCCAAATAATCGTGATTATGATTTTTGCCATAATCGCACAGCCCTACTACAAAGATAATCAGATTATGAATAAACCGTTCTAAATTCATCAACATTGAAATAAATGTATTATTAAAATAATATTTAACTGTTATCAAAACTTAGTGCAACTGTGGAAGCTTGCTCTGTTCGGTTGTCTCACTGAAAGACAAAGGGTCGCAGCTCTCACTATGTGATGTTGCTTGGTAAAATGTAAATGTAACCTTTTGCTAATAAAGTCCACTCAACATCACTGATGTGTAGGTGATCTAGTATTCAGCCATGTTTAATGGCATGTATGTCAGTGTATTGGAGTCATTACTTTATGCATTCTTTGCAAAGTATGAAAAAGGTGTACCTTGGAATCCGTGCTGAAGTTCTCTGCTGTTAGGACTCCAGATCTGTCTCTCCTCCTCTGGTCCAGCCTGTCTGGATCACCTTGAGGACACTTTGAACAAACAGATGTAAAGTTACATGCATGGGTTACAGACTTCTTTCCATGCAAACAACTTTTTATCTTCTTTTAAAAACAGGTCATAATCTTATTGTTATACTTCAGAAATGGCTGGATATCACAGTCCTTATACTGTATCAGTTTGATTGTGTAGGTCCTTTTTATTTGACTGTTACTTTGGATGAGGTTTTCATGAGTCAGTCAAATTAATTTGTTTTCATATGCCATATTCATATGTATCACACACGTAAGGGTAAGACACAAACCTATTGAACAAATGCAATGCAATGGATAAGCTTCATTTCCACTGAAGTCACAGATAACGTCATATATAATATTTAAACAAATCATTTCCTTGTCACTAAAGCATTGACTACTACGCTATTCATCGTCCTTAAATGCAGGAATTAAGTTACATGTTCCGTTGTACAGCCACGATAAGGCTGTTTCTCAAGTGTAAGGATAACACAATTAAAAGAGGCATTGGTAATAATATTAAAAACAACAATGTTTGGGTCGTTCGTCGGATAGGCGGTTAGCTGCAATAAATAACTCCAGTTCAACAAACCATATTACAATATCTAAGGGAGCGTTATTATCTTGAAATGTGACGTTCATATTTTAAAGATACACATATTTCATTGTGAGGTTGATTTAATATACACTAAGCCTCTCTTCAACAATACGTTGACGTTAGCTAGTCTATTTTATGCTATAGTAGAGCATAGCGGATTTAAATGAACCTTAACAATGCATACAGTAACCTAAATAGCAAACTAACTATCTAACGTACAAGGATGACCTTATTTTAGCAACCTCGCACAGAAGCCTTTTGGTATACAGTAGCATCCCACTTAATGTTTTACACTCTTGGATGCTACGCATAGCATCGTTAGCACAGATGGAGCTACGATTGCTCAAATGCTACCCCAACTCTAAACATTCATTAACGTTAGCTTAATAAAAACACCAGTAACATAACATAAAGTACGCAGGGTTGACTTACCGAAGAAACTGCATTCATGGACGGTCTGTTTCAACCGCAGATAAATCCTATATTTGCATGACGAATAGTCCACCAGGAACCAACACAACAAACATGGCCGAGTTCAAGTAGTGTTCTCCTCAAGAGCTGAGCCGCTGTAGCATCACGGAGCTAACGGAGCTAGCAGAGAGGAGCTAGGAGCAGCAGTCCCCGTTGTCATGAAGGGGGAATCTAACTATATACAGAATATGTTTGTGTAGATCCAGGCTAGAATGTTCATTTTCTGATGTTAAGTTGGACATTTTAACAAAGGGTCTACGGGAATTGCTCCCATCTGCATCCATCGCCTACAGTTTGCAGCATTGGGCTTCACCGCACTGTCCCGGGGTTTGCCGCTTGGCTCTGATAGGCCAGAAGTCGGTTTGATTGCATTAGGGCTCGATTGCGTATCCTGTCTGAGTAGCCCGGATGAGGCTGCATCGCAATTTTTGACGTCGAATTTTACACACCGAATTTTTTTACATCGAATTTTAAACACCGAAATATTTGATGTCGAATTTTTTTTCACTTGAATTTTTGGGATCTGAATTTGAACATTCGAATTTTTTTAACTTGAATTTTTACATTTTTATTTCACATAGATAAATTCGGAGCAAAACAAATTCAGATTCATGATTTTCAAAGTAATTATTTTCAATGCTATAAATTCGGTGTCTAATAAAATTCAAATACTTCTGTCTCTTGTTTGCTTCCATACTAAAGCACGTCTTTCCTACGCCGAAGAGGAAGTTAATCTAAGGCTGGATAAAGCTAAATTGGAAGCATCTATGGAAATGCTCAACATACAGAAAGAGACAGCTGCGGCTATAGCTGAAGCAGAAGTATTTGAAGCTGCTGAGGATTTAGACATTGAGAAAGAAAGGAGTAAAAACTGTTTAAGCTCTGGATCATTGGAAGCAGCATTACGCACACAGCAATATGTTGCTGACCAAGCCAAAATAACGGAGGCTAAACCTCAACTAAGTGATCATTATGTACCAGCAAATACAAAGCCAAGTCCTGGCGACAGCATTTCACATTCACAGCTCAAACCAGAAGCCAAACCTTTCATTCTCCATCAAACCAATTCTGGATCCCAATCACCTCATCTTACCTCACAGCAGCCTGGCATCAACGGAGACGAGTGTGGTCGTGGTTCACGCAATGTAAAGTTTGAGAACAACCGTTGTACTCCTGGACAGTATTACAGGCCTCAAAACCATAGTGGTAATCCTTCCTCATCGCCCCATCCTATGTCTCCAAATTACAATCACAACGACTCAAACCTGAATGACTTTGTGAGATATTTTGCACGGCACGAGCTTGTTGCTACAGGTTTGCTTCAATTCAATGAAAAACCTCAGAATTACAGAGCATGGAAACGGTCTTTCCAGACCGCAACCCGGGGTTTAAACCTGACACCAAGTGAGGAGATGGATCTTCTGCACAGGTGGCTTGGTAACGAGGCAAGACAACATGTTGAACAGATAAGAGCAATACACATAAATCACCCTGAAGCAGGATTAGCAATGACATGGGACAGACTCGAGCGAACATATGGCTCACCAGAAGTCATTGAAGACGCTCTGTTCAAACGCATTGACACCTTTCCTAAAATAACAAATCAAGATTATTTCAAACTGACAAAGTTAAGTGATCTATTAATGGAACTTCAATCTGCCAAAGCAGAAGGATACTTTCCTGGTCTCTCCTTCCTCGACACAGCCAGAGGCGTCAACCCAATAGTTCAGAAGCTTCCATTCGGTCTGCAGGAAAAGTGGGCATCAGTCGGTGCATCCTACAAGCGGCAAAATCTTGTCCACTATCCACCCTTTGACTTCTTCGTGAACTTTGTCAGCCAGGAGGCTATCATGAGGAATGATCCGAGCTTCAACTTCGCCTCCCACACAGACACAGCTAAACAGAATGATAAGACAGGTTGGAAACCAAACAAATATCGGGAGGTCTCTGTCCACAAAACAGAGATCTTCCCCAGAGTCGTTACTGAAACCGGTGAGCCCCCAAAGAGATCTGAGGACTTTGATAAAATGTGTCCGATACATGAAAAGCCACATCCACTCCGCAAATGTGGTACATTCCGAGCAAAGCCCATTGATGAGCGTAAGGCATTCCTAAAAGAGAATAATGTGTGCTTCAGATGCTGTTCTTCGTCATCACATTTCGCGAATAACTGTAAAATGAAAATTCAATGTTTTGAATGCAAAAGTGAAAGACACCATACAGCACTTCACCCTGGACCAGCACCCTGGATGGAGGAGGTGGTCCCTCCTCCAGAGCATGGCGGGGAGGAGGAGAAAACTTCACCTCCTCCTCATGTCACCACCAAATGCACAAACGTCTGTGGCGGAGATCTGGCAGGTAGATCCTGCTCCAAAATATGTCTTGTAAATGTATATCCATCAGGCCACAAAGACAAAGCAATTAAACTGTATGCAATTTTGGACGAACAGAGCAACAGATCATTAGTTCGTTCACAGTTCTTTGAAATGTTCAGTGACCAAAGTCCGAGTGCTCCTTACACATTGAGAACATGTGCTGGAGTGAAGGAATCAGCAGGAAGAAGAGCCAGTGGCTATGAAGTTGAGTCTCTGGATGGAACTGTCCACATCCCATTACCCAGCCTCATAGAATGCAATGACATTCCTAACAACAGAAATGAGATCCCAACCCCTGATGTGGCTCTCAATCATGCACACCTCAAGTCAGTGGCGCACCTCATCCCAGACATTGAGCCACAAGCCCCTATCATGCTTCTCCTGGGTCGGGACGTTATCAGAGTTCATAAGGTTCGCAAACAGATAAATGGCTCACACAACCAGCCTTATGCTCAAAAGTTAGATCTGGGGTGGGTCATTGTAGGCAATGTTTGTCTAGAAAGCGTCAACAAACCATTGACGATCAACAGCTTCTACACGAAAACCACAGAACTAGAGTGTCCTATTCTCCAAGTCACTCAGGATTCAGATGGGAAAACCTCCTGTGATGCTGACCACCTTGGAAGTACTGTGCCCAATCTGGACCATTTGCCTTTTGTGCCGACAGATCAGAACCCCACAGATCATGCAACACGTTTGGTGGCTCCAGGTCATTTAAAAGACACTAACTGGCTGACTGGACCCAAGTTTCTGTCCAAGCCAAAGCCAAGTATCTCTGAGAGCACCTATGATCTTGTGGATCCGAGTCCAGACCCAGATATCCGGCTTCAAGTGTCTACTTTGAGTACTGCAACAGCTCACAAGCAGCTTGGTTCCCAGCGATCTACCAAGTCCTCTTTATGGGAGTCACTCACTCCTATTACTCACCTCTTGCACATCGCATGTGTGTTCAAGGCAACCCCAAAAAAGAACAGCTATCGTAAGGGCTGGCATTGCTGCGAGGCAGAATTCACTGTTGAGGAATCCAATCAGGCCGCAGATATAATCATTCAAACATACAAGAAGTGGCAGTCAAATCAAATACCAAGATATTAATGGCCTCTTCGACTGACAACACAGACTTTTCCTAACAAAAACGGGAAGTTGCATCAGGTCGAGGTGAAGGTCATCAAACCAGGAGGGACTTCGCTCTTTCTTAGGCCTGTTGCAGAGATGGTGCCTCTTCTCCCCCCAGATGGCTAGGTAATGGAAGTGTTCTAGATTTGGGTGACGTGTATCACGCCAGACGGGGAGTGTTCTGTTACAGCTAAGTTTACTCTTGTTTGCATTTTCTGGGCTATTCTTTGTGTGCCTATTGTGCCTAGTCGTGGTCCCTTTAAGAATCAGGATGACATCATCAGATGGGTGTGTCAGGTGATCATTAGAGAGGAAATAGGCAACACATGGCTCTGTGAACAATGTGTTATTGTTTGTTAGAAATCCAGCTACATCTGCATACGTCTTAATGCCTTTGATCGCATCGTATGTAAGTATTGTTTATGTTTGTGTTATTAACAATTACAGATGATTATTTTTAGGAAATATTGTATTCTGTGGTGTTTAATGCTGGAGATCTTCCGAGTTGTCTCAATATTGTACAAGGCTAATGCAATGAGAGTTAAATGTACAAATGGCTGATTATATGTTTAAAATATGATGCCATTTATAACTGTTTAAGTTCTAGAATTACAATAAATACATTAAAAAGCTTACAGTAAATATAACAAGGCAATTCAATTAATGTTAAAGCTGTGTTGATACATTGTGCATATTTGTGTATGTAGAAATGATCATAGAATTGATTATATTTTGTCTTGTTTATTTTTAGTTTCACACCTTCCTTATATCATTAAACCTGTGGGCAAAGGATTCACGTCTTCAGAGTCTTGGTGTACGGAGGGAGTTTATCTGGCTGTTAAGATATATACACTACATATACCGGGGACAGCACAATACATTATGAAGTGATATGATATGATATGAATGATAATGGGACACATCGACGTCTGCACTCAGTGTACTTATGTTGTGGAAGATATAATTTAAGTAAGCTTTCTTAACGCTAATAGTCAGATTGCTCTGAAGATGGGAGGTGATATTCTATTCATTTTCACATTCACACAGTCAGTGATTTTTGCCGGCCGTCTTTCCTGCAACGGCAGTTTTTCTGTATTTCCTTTCTTCTGTAATATGACTTGATTGCTTTAAACTCCGCACACTGAGCTCTGATTGGTCAGCAGGCGGTGCTTTCACTGAGTTGATCTCTTAGCCTGCAACCTAACCTGCTCCGGAGCAGGTTAGCCGCACAGCATAAGTTACCATGGAGATCTAGCCCGCTAAAAAAAGAACCAGCTTCGTAGGACCGGAAAACCGGAGTTTTCCATGAAGTTAGCCGGCTAAGCGAAAATCCTGCTTCGTTAATTGTTATTTTTTTGCATATTTTCGAGATACCAAAATATGTCGTTTTTGCATATTTTCGACAAACTAATAAATATCCTATACCCATACCGGGAGTTGAACCCGGGCCACCTGGGTGAGAACCAGGAATCCTAACCGATAGACCATATGGTACATGTTAATTGTTGTTTTTTTGCATATTTTCCAGAAACTATAATATGTGGTGTTTTGCATAATTTAGACAAACTAAACTATACTAATTATTATCCTATTCCCATACCGGGAGTTGAACCCGGGCCACCTGGGTGAGAACCAGGAATCCTAACCGCTAGACCATATGGGACATGTTAATTGTTTTTTTTAAACTTATTTTCAAGATACCAAAATATATCGTTTTTGCATATTTTAGACAAACTAAACTATACTAATAATTATCCTATTCCCATACCGGGAGTTGAACCCGGGCCACCTAGGTGAAAACCAGGAATCCTAACCGCTAGACCAGGGGTACTCAAATACAAATCTTAAAGGTCCAAAATAAATGTTTCAATAAGACAAAGGTCCGTTTATCACGGTCATTCAAACTTTTAAACAATTACAACAAGATTCTTAACACGAGGTTGCAAAAACAAAAATAATCTGTATGCAGCAGTTTTCATTGTTATTGTGTCTGTGCTTGACCCCTCAGAGTCGCAGTGTAAGAGCTGCACAGTTATGAATAAAGGCAGCTGCACCCTCTTTCATTCAGCATTCCCATTATTGCTTTATAAATGTATTCCCCCTTGTGTGTCCACTGAGGTTCGTCAGGCCCAACACATCTTCAACAAACTCCCCCTTTACCTCATCATAAAAACTCACAAACACCAGCAACTGAGCATTGTCAGTGGTGTCAGTGGACTCACCCACAGCTAAGGAAATGCACTGTGCATTTTTTATTCCATCACAAAGCTGATGAATCAAATCACCAGCCAGTATTTATGTTCTTCTGGTTGCTGTGGAATCTGAGAGGGGGATTTGCTTGATTTTACCTGTTATTTCCTCTTTTTGTTTGCCTTCAACATGGTCTCCATCACTTCAGTCATGCATTATTTTATACTTCAGTTATTATCCAGTGGAAAGTCCTTACCTACTGGCCTAGTTCAATCAAAGTGGTTACTTTTTTTTGCCTGGGCAGTGTAGTTTTACACACCGTCTTATTTGACTTTCTCAGGACTTAAAACAGTTTTTTGGGGGCAGACCCCCTCAAAGAAAAAATATATTTACACACGTAAGGTCATCATCTTAATAGTTGTGTATGCTCATCCGTGAGCAGAGCATCAAGTTGACATGTCTATTACAGCTGAATGCGGCGATTACCATCTTGTTCAGCGAAACGCCTCACAAACGTATTAAGATCAACAGCTTCTAGATGCGTTTTGATTCAATGCTGAGTACAGCCAAACTGACAGTCTCTTCTCTGTCATTGTAGACCGCAAATACCTCATTCCTTCAGTGCTTGGGTCCGAATGCTTCTCGTTTTGCGCCGTCCAGTTCAAAATGAAATCGCCGCCAATCGTATGTCCACGCTCGCGCCAGGACCGGGGGAGGGGTTACATGACGTGCATCTTGTGCTGCATTCAATTGCACTCGGACATTAGAGACTTTCTCTCATAAATGTCCGATGAGCCACAACTTTTCTTTCAAAACAAAGCTGCCAACTGGGGTGGCAGCTGGGGTGTCAGTTGCCACCCCGGTAGGTGAAACTAGGCTACTAGCTACAGTACAGATGGAACTAGATGAGCTGTTAACTCTCGCTCTGAATTTATTTATTTTAAATTCTCGCTCTGACTTAGACAGGTTGAAAGAGACACACACATTTTTCCCACCCGCATTCCGCGAAGACCCGCCCTACTGTGCCTCTGATTCGCAGATTGTTTGGGGGAAAAAAACGCTGACTGGATGCTGAATGTGATTGGACCAAAGCGTTGACACACACAGGTGGAACACAGTGGAACAGTCAGACATGCAGAGCGCTGTTTGCAGTGGACATAGCGGAGAATTTTGACTCGTTGCGAATGCGTTGTGGCGATGTCTCACATATAATACAGAGAGATAATACATATGAAAAGTATAATTTGCTCAGAGTCCGGAGACAGTGGTGGTTCGGTCCGGATCCGGACCGGAGTCCGTAGTTTGAGGATGCCTGCGCTAGACCATATGTGACCCACTCTATCGAAATCAGTCGGAAGTCGCAACGGCTCATTTCAAAATAAACGTGGATTTACGTAAAAAACAATTTTTTCGGGGTTCGGGTGTTTTATTTGATTTTAAACAAACAAAGTCTTGGCTTTCAGAATATGAAACATTTATTTCCAAAATCACACAATAAATACATGTTTGAAGCTTGTAAAGGGACAAAGACAGGCACCTCTCACTCGCAATCTGCTCTTCCGCAGCGCCGCCCCCCTCCCTCCGGCTGACATTATGAATGTAAGGTGTATAGTAATCATAGATAACACGGCAGGGTCCGTTACAGTTTGTTTTCATCTGATTTCAATTAAACAAAGTCTTGGCTTTCAGAATATTAAACTTGTTTCGGCAAATTCAGATGATAAATACCATTTTGAAGCTTCGGCATAATTACAAGCGGAGAACGGAGTAACTTAACGTCACAGCAGGCATAACAGCCGCCGGTGTTTCTCGTGAGGGTTTTACCCGGGAAACAAACACAATACACACAAACGGAAAATTACACAAACACACACACGTATACACACACACTCGCGAGCTTCCCCTCCAAACGAAAATATCTCCCCTCTGTAGTATTTTGATCATTTGCTCCACTAATAATCAATCAGATCGATGGATTCCAGAGAAGAGGAAACTTTGAAGGCCTTTTTCTCAAAATGATGACTCGGTGACAGTCATTATATAATGTGACATATTTCGCTTAATATTAGGAGAACAAAAACAATCCTGATATCATTAGAAAGCTAGGAATCTCCTATTCCAACAGTGTATACAACTCAAAATGTGTCTTCGGGTCAATGCGACTGATTTCGATAGAGCAGGTCACATATGGGACATGTTAATTGTTGTTTTTTTGCATATTTTTGAGAAACTAAACTATAGTAATTATTATCCTATTCCGGGAGTTGAACCCGGGCCACCTGGGTGAGAACCAGGAATCCTAACCACTAGACCATATGGGACATGTTAATTGTTTTTTTTTTACATATTTTCGAGATACCAAAATATATCGTTTTTGCATATTTTTGACAAACTAAACTAATCTAATAAAAATCCTATTCCCATACCTGGAGTTGATGCCGGGCCACATGGGTGAGAACCAGGAATCCTGACGGCTAGACCATATGGGACATGTTAATTGTTGTTTTTTTGTATATTTTTGAGAAACTATACTATGTGGTATTTTGCATAATTTAGTCAAACTAAACTATACTAATTATTATCCTATTCCCATACCTGGAGTTGATCCCGGGCCACATGAGTGAGAACCAGGAATTCAATTCAATTCAATTCAAAACCTTTATTTATACAGATAAAACCCATTGAGATCATAGACCTCTTTTACAATGGTGACCTGCTTCAATTAGTTCCAAACATTAATACAAACATGACAGAAAACAAAGGACATTATATGATACTACAGTTTGTATACTAGTAGCATTTACAGACACCAATATTTTCTGATTGTATAGCGTCTATCCTAGCTTTAAAAACATGAAATGGAATCAAACTGCTTAGCTTCCATTCCTTTTGTAGACTGTTCCATGCTAGCGGCGCTGCGCATCTAAAAGCTGTATTTCCTAATACAGTCCTAGCAGTTGGCACATGTAATACAACCACAGCTTTAGATCTCAGGCAGTAGCCATTTACAATACTCTGTGAGATCAGGGAACAGATGTAAGACGGAAGTTTCCCTAACATTGCTTTATAAATAAAAAGATACCAGTGATTTAGCCGCCGTACAGTAAGTGAAAGCAACCCTGCCCTTGTATACAGGGTACAATGATGAGTCAAAGTCTTACAGTCTGTCACAAACCTTAGTGCACTATGATAGGCGGCATCTATCTTGGTGAGGTAATTGGCCGGCGCATTCATATAAAATAGATCACCATAGTCCAGCACAGGTAAAAAGGTCACAGTGACTAGCCTTTTCCTGGCCTCAAGAGAGAAACAGGACTTGTTTCTATAAAAAAAACCTAGCCTAACCCTCAGTTTTTTAAGCAGGTTATTTACATGCAGTTTAAAAGAAAGACAGTCATCAAGCCAGATACCAAGGTATTTGTAAGAGGTTACCACTTCAAGTTTTTTTCCTTGCATGGTTACAATATCTAAAAACAGGCTCTGGTGACTTTTTAGCTTTTGAAAAGAGCATTAACTTGGTTTTATCCACATTTAAAAGAAGCTTAAGCGCTGAGAGCCGAGTCTGAACAGTGTTAAAAACAGTCTGTAATTTAACAACAGCCTCCTTAACTGAGGTACCTGCACAATACATCACAGTATCATCTGCATAAAAATGTAAGGTAGCTTCCTCCACATTATCACCCAA